GAGCTATCCATCCATCCATTTCCGAAGCTTGTCCAGGGTCACAGGGATGCTGGAGGCTGGAGCCTTCTGACAAATATTTATAAAATGGTTAAAATCATTTTAAACAATTGCAATTTTACCCCTGAATGTGTGTACTTAAATTTATGTAGGCCTACTATGTATATATTAATACAGTATAGCAAAATTAAAGATAATTAAATATATCCTCACACATCACCAGTTTTGAAATCAATCTTTCAGAGTTGATGCCTGTGTACAGTGCCAAAATCAGTCATTTATGAGTTTATATACTGTTAGATGCTGCCACAGACGGCAGCTGTAGTCTATAGCTACGGTTTAGATAGAGCTTCTGTGCGTTCTGATTTGAGCTCTCAGTTGATGGTAGATATAGAGCAGCTTATGGTGTTGTCGGCACTGTCAGATCAGGTGCTTGTCATTTAAATCTCAATAGTTTTATCTTTATTATCACTCAGTTTGTCATCTCCGCACAGAAAAAAAAACAGTACAGTTCCCCTCCAGAAGCTGCTCATTTGCTTCTTTCCTGCTGCCCCTATTTACAGTGAAATATAGGTGCAACATCTTACAGCTCAAATTTCAGAAAACCACAGCCACGTGGTTCTTCCGAGTACATGCTGACATTTATGACGTGATGTTTTTGTCTGCATAATCAGCAACAAAGTGGCCGCAATGTGCAAAAGTTTCCCATTGAGACTGAATAACATTATTCGCAGCTGTAAATTTGCCACTTCCAAATTGATTCATGAAGTTCACTCTGTAAACCTGACCAAACATCCAGATAATGAAATACGTTTAAATAACCCCACACCGCTGGACAGTCCTCTGACCATAACGTGCAGATGTGTTCTAATTTAGGATCTAGTGTTTTCTGAAGCAACACCATTCAAATAAATCAGTACATTATTCAGTGCACACATGCAATGCTAAACCTCAATGGTTCAAATTTGATTTTAGGGGGGAAAAATATATAGGCTAAAATTTGATCTGTTCTTCATATAAAGTTGTCATAAATCCACTTTTCCATTCTCTCTGAAGGTGCAGTCAACAGTAACTCCAGTCTCAACAACCTGTGAGGCTTCAGTTCAAATTGGCAAAGGTCGCCCTGCATGGACTTTCTGCACCATCAGATAAAAATAAAGACTATAGCATATTTTAAACTGCATTCAGACTGTACATTGAGGTCATGACCAGTATCTTGACTTGTACATCTTCAGACTGCTGTGTCAATGAAATGATGTTTTCTGAAGTTATGGCCACTAAGCGGCCCACACATTACTGACCAAGGCTATGTAACATTCAGATCATGTCTAAAGGAAAAGTTCCTCTCTTCCTTTCTCTGCTTCTTTCTGTATCTAAAGACATGGTTGAACACCATCAAGATTTCTATTTCAAATAAATTCTGTCATTTTAAACTATATATTCATTCAAGAATCCTGAAAAAGAAATATATATATATATATAAAGTTCCTCTCTTCCTTTCTCTGCTTCTCTCTGTATCTAAAGACATGGTTGAACACCATCAAGATTTCTATTTCAAATAAATTCTGTCATTTTAAACTATATATTTGTAAGGATAAAAGAAACTAAAATACTTTGATCTCCTGAGAAACAAACAATGCACCTTTTTTTTTATGCTGGTTTAAAGTCTCTTCACATTCCGATAGCAATTTGGTCTACATGCATTTATATTGTCTGTGGAAGGTGTAGGACCATAAAATGTTCATCCAATCATTTCCCTCAGGCTGTCTGTCAATTTGCATAGCTCCACGCACCCTGTTCGCGCAGACATGATACATCATCAGAGCGTTCCATTACGCTATTGCAGACCGAGCGAGAAAGGAAATCATTATTATTGCATTATTATGCTCTTTGTACTGTAATGTTTTCTTACCAGTGAATGAGACATGGGCTAATCTGACAGCATTGCATTCAACCCTCCACCAATGGTGGCTTTCATCGTGTCGCTGGTCAGCTTCTGCTCTGCCTGTGCACGTTCATGTGTTTTGGAGGAGGCGTGGCTTTGGAGAGTGATTTGCAGGGAGGGTGGGATCTTATGCTTTCAAAGCTCGCTTGCTATTGCTAGCCTCCACGAAATCACCTACACTCTAAAAAATGCTGGGTTAAATACAACCCAGTGCTGGGTAAAATAGGGACAAACCCAGCAATTGGGTTGTTTTGACCCAGCGGGTAGTCTGGGTAGTAACCCAGCCCAATTGCTGGGTTTGTCCCTATTTTACCCAGCACTGGGTTGTATTTAACCCAGCATTTTTTAGAGTGTACCCTACCTTTAAGCTGCATAATTGTTTTCAACAGTCATTAAAATAAAAAATATATATATATTTTTAACAAAACAGTTTTCAGCACTGAATAAATTATATTTATAATGCTCATTTTGTCCATCATGGATGGTTCTATCCATCATGGATATTTATATTACTGAGCAAAACATATAATTAATTTAATACTGAAAACTATTGTTAAAATGATCCGTTTCTACAAAAATATCAAGCTGCACAACTTTTCAATAGGCATTTTAATAATTGTAAACTAATTTTTAACAATATTTGTTTTTATATATTGAATATTAAGCTGCACGTATTTTTACAACCTTGATAATAAAAAAATAATAACAATAATAATGTTTATTGATGAGTGCTGAAAGTTCAGTTTTGCATCACAGGAATAAACTACATTTTAAAATATTACAATATTTTTACAATTTTAAATGAATATGTTCTATTTTAATATATTTCACAATATTATTCTTACTGACCCCAAACGTTTGAATGGTAATGTACTGTATGTCTTAACAGTGTGTTTGTTTTGATATCTTGTATATTTTAATGTGGATATTATTTATAAGCCATAACAATTTCATAGGATAAGTAGTATGCTGTTATGTGGTTTGAAAAAAAAAGGTCCCGTTTAAAATCACAAATATTGCTTCTAAATAAAAGGTTTCTAATAAAAACATGTCTGACACTGGTGCTCATGTGCTTTTTACACTTTCCAAAACCCTTTAAGAAGCCTGAAACTTTTTGCTTGTTTGGCGTTTGGCTCGATTTAGCCTAGAGTGTATGAAACGAGTGAATAATATGAATGGTTTCGGACTGTCTGGGATATTGGATGTCTTTTTTTTACCCTCAATTTTTCCCTCTCCACTAGATTTCGAGAACTGTCAGAGCGGCGCTGACTCTGTATTCTCTAATCCTTGCCATGGGTTTTGCAACCAGAGGAAGAAATCTATATTTAGATGCCATGGGTGAATGTGTTTAACTTTAGCCCAGAGTCACTCCATTCATCACAGGAACAAGCTCAAAGACCTCGACTCCAGCTTCAGGCTCTGATATTAATGACTTCTGTGGTCAACCAAACGGCAAACACTTTATATTTATTTACAGTATATTGGCTTACAAAAATAATGTTTCGCCTGACAATTCTTGATTATCCTGAAGCAATTCCCATTCTGTTAAAGCTGAAGGAAAAAAGGGTCATGTTCTGTTCAGTTTAAACTTCTCACACTTCTCTCTCCTGCTCAGGATGTGTGTTGGCTTCATTCCAGATGAAACCATATGGAGGTCTTCAGACACACACACCTGAAGATATTTTATTACCTCAGGAATCAAAATGATGCAGCCTTAAATTGAATAATTGCCATTATCAAACCTCATAATGGATTCAATGCTGCTGATTCAATAAAGAAAATAAATCAGAGCAGGTAAGTATAGACACACTTTAATATAATTTTATATTCGTATCCAGTCGAAAATACAACTTTTGAATGAAAGGCACAGTACGACCAGCCTTTTCCTCAGTCTCAAAACAAACACATACAGAAAGCAGACTTTTCTTACAGAAAATGCACAAATAAATCATATTTTAACAAACTTTGGAATGCCTACAAAGCAATATGAAATGTGATTTTTTTTTTTTTTTTCATTAAGCTCAATCATCTCTCAATATTGCTTATTCCAAACATGAAAAATGGCACACAGGTAACATTATTAGGGGGGAAAGAACCCTAAAAATATGAACCCAAAGAACATTAAAATATGTAGCCAAAATTGACAAAACATTAAAGGGTCTATGAGGAAAAACTATGATCTGACAATGTAGTGCAACTTGTCTCTGTAAACACAACGCAAGTGCAAGTGAAGGTATGTCATGGTTGCCGGCATACGAGAATTTAAACTGCATTGGTCCAAAAAGAAGAAGGTAAAAAAACAACAACAACACTAACAAATGTTTATGAAGACAGGATCATGAAAAATAAGAGCTTTATTGTGGTTACCCTTTTGAGCAATCTTGGTCAAAGCATTGCTAAAAGAATTAAATAAACCACACGATGGTGACTATATTCTTTGGTATTTTTATTTTTGCATACTTAGTTGTTTCAAATCCATTTTGTTCTCCTTTTTGTATTTTCAATTCAGGTTTGTTTTTTAAATCAAGTCATCCAACTTTTACAAGAAGCAACAACGTCTCACCAAAAAGGTTCATTGTAAGAGGAAAGACTTGATCAAATTTCCCTGCCATAAGTGGCATAATCTGACCATTCACACTTTCAAATTCAGTTAAGACTTGACTTCCCGTAGCAAAGAAACCAGATGGTTAATCGAATATAGGGACTAAAATAAAACACAAATGGATGAATCTCAAAGCCTGTCAAGAACATGTCCAAGTAATATTTCACCCCAAAATCTCATTTTGCTTAAAGAAACTGATTTAAATTTATATTTTAAAAATATATTTAATTAGATTGCTATATTTTACAGCATTTTTACTGTCTTTTGTTTTACAACAACAAAAAAGAAAAACGACAAAAACAAAAACAACTAATAAAACGGAAGAAGAAAAAAAACAGAACACAAAACAAGCAAACAAACAAACAAAAAGCTTAAACATCTTGGCATTATTATGATAATCAGCAAAAACGAAACAAACAAAAAAACAATGAAAATATTGTCCTAAAATATAACTATATCTTGGCTAACAGAGGAATGTATTTGATTCAAAATATTAGATTTTTTATTTTTTATTTTGGATTAAAACATGACCTGGACATGTTTTTTGTTAAGATTCACCCAAATATAAACAAAGCTCCCTGTATCACTTCAGGTATAACCCCTGCTCACAGTGCACCTACAGCACTCAATTTATAAATTAATTAGAAACCATATTACAGGATCTTGATCAGAACCTATATTGGCAGCAAGGGTTCACTGAAGCATCAGATATTACAATCATCTCACAATCACAATCACACACACACGCACACACATAAACACACACACACACACACACACACAAACACACAATCTCACACACACACACACACACACAAAATCACACACACACACACCAGTGTGATCATAGCAGTTTGAGCCTCTAGTCTGCTGATTTTCACACGACCCTTTAATCCATGTTCATGTGCAAACTTCTTTAATTAGTCCCCGGACAGGACTGGAGCCAATGTTGGCATGATTGATAGCGGCAACGAAATAGCGACTACCTTGAAGGTGAATGAATGTGTTCCAGAATCTGGTAGCACATTTGTAAAAGTAATTCAGTGGTCTTTTCTTGAGGAGGATGGGGGCACAGAATGTCCCTTGTTCTTGACACTACCTGTTAGTATTGCTCAGCTGTGTGAGTTCTGTCAGGTACTCCTGCAGTTCTTTAGCTGCCTGGAAGCGACCGTACTGTTTCTGAGGCCTGGTGCATTCGTCCAGCAGAGCCGTGAGGCGGCCGTCTTTGACCAAGTCGGCAGGGGGGTCGTGGAGGAGACCGCCCGTGGTGCCGCGCCAGGTGGCGAATCTAGAGAGCAGGTTCTGACAGATAGCATAGTAGTTGTGGTCCACGGTGACTCGAGAGCAGAGGATGTCCTTGGAGAAGGAGAGACAGGCCTCTTTGTCGCATTCCTCGTAGCGGCTCTCGTACCACACGTCATAGTTCTCTGGTTTATCTGAGAAAAACAAAAACAAAAACAAAAAAACAGTTAAACGGTTTATAATATCTGCCAAAATAATACATGAGAATAAACCTCAAACTCAACATGAAAAAGCATTTGCAGCCCATGTTTCTGGGTTTCTGGAACTGAATATTGAAGACTGAAGTTTGGGCCCTATGATTTCAAATTACAGTATAACACTGTATAACTATATAACAGTCACTGAATTTCATTTATTATTTAGACTACTAAATCAAGTGTTTGTGATTATTAAAAGACTATTTAAATATTAAGTCTGCTTTTTGTGTGATTGAGCAGCGCAGTTTTGTCTACTACACAAACTCAAGCACACGTGATGCCGTCTCACTGTATGAGGACATGAACATGAACTTCATCTCCAGAGCTGCTCTGAGGGTTCACTTCACCAGCATTTAACCTTTTCATTTGATAAAAAAAACACTGTCATGTCATATAGAGTAGGCATAGAAACTCAAAGATCTTCGTGACAAAACATGGTTAAAATAAAAGTTAGGTTTGACTTCAAGAAGCTGCGACAGAAATATATTACTGCTGCACAGTAGGCTGTTCTTAAAAATATAAGTTTAAATAATTTTGTTTTTATTACTTTAAGGAATATCACAATTTACCAACCTCAGCATTTTATTTACCTAAAAAAAAAAAATTCATATTTTCATGTGGTTACATTTTTTTTACATTGTTAATGTTTTATGCCTTTATTTGATTACCACCGTATTTGATAATAAATTTGTATTAAATGCAGAAAAATAAAAACAGGCAAAAATAAATAAATAAATAATAATAAAATAAATAAATGATTAAATAATAAAGAAATTTTTTTTATGGCGCCTATTGTCAATGATAATAATTTAATGAATTCAACTGATTAGACTTGCTTTTTTATTTAATTAAAATTTAAAATTTGACTATTAACAATTAAAGATTTATTAAAAAAGAAAAACTGAAATATCACATGGTCCTAAGTATTCAGACCCTTTGCTGTGACACTCATATATTTAACTCAGGTGCTGTCCATTTCTTCTGATCATCCTAGAGATGG